AGTCGCCGCACTCTTCAATTTCTATCCATCGTCATCTTACGAGCCTTCCACTGATTCCCCTTTGCCCGGTAGCCGCTACACTGACGCACCTTCGTCCAGTCGCCGCAGCTCCCGCCCCCTGTTCCGCTACGTCGCCAATCCCGCTCTCCGCCACCTCGGCGCTTTTCATCACAGAGCTTCTCTGGACGACTGCAGCAGGAAAACTAGATATTGCAGCTTATAGAGGTGAAGCTGCAATACCAATGATGGTCGAAAATCCTCTACTGACGCTTTCCACGCACCACAGCCTGCTTGAAGTACAAGTCGACCATGTTCCTGTGACCGCCCTCATTGACACAGGTGCGCGCCTGTCTATTATGTGCGCTTCTCTATGCCGCCGCTTACAAAAGATTGTGATGCCGTCTACGACGCAGGCAATACGTGTTGCCGATGGCGGTAAAGTACCAATAATTGGAATGTGCACTGATCGTATCAACCTTGCCGGTCGTCACGCCGTGGTCCTTTTTGCCGTGCTAGCCTGCTGCCCTCATGACCTCATACTTGGCCTTGATTTCCCTTCGGCACACTCGGCCTTAATTGATTGTTCGTCAGGTACCCTCAGCCTCGATCTTCCAATCTTTGCCGACTGCTCTGCAAAGTCCACCAGCCGCTTGAGCACAACCACTTTCGTTCCCGTACCACCTCGAGCCGCGACGTACGTGTCTGTCATCAACCCTTCCCATTCCTGACGGTGATTATATCGTTACGCCGATTACTGACGTTCGGCTGACGCGCAGTGTTACTGTGCCCCATACCATCGCGACCGTAGTGAATAACTGTGTGTCTCTTTGCTCCTTAACTTTGGTTTCACCCCTCAAAAGTTGCCCTGCCAGATGGCTCTAGCCTAGCTAACTGCCGTAACAGAGGACGATGTCAGTGTTGTCGCTGTATCTGCTCCTGATCGAAGCGCAGTCTCACAGTCATGCAGCTCAGACAATGCGATTTTTCAAAACATGATTGGATCGGAGCTGTCGCCTCACCAGGCCGACGCTCTCTGCCAGGTTTTGGCCTCATACAGTGACATTTTTTGACAACCGTTGATCGTCCCTTGGGCCAGACTAAAATTGTCACTCACCGAATCAGCACCGGTGACTCTGCGCCTAGTCACCGTCGGCCGTACCGCGTGTCAGCGTCCAAGCGAGAAGTGATTCAGAAAGAAGTGGCCAAGATGTTCACGAAAAACGTAAACGAACCATCATCGAGCCCTTGGGCATCTCCCGTGGTATTAGTAAAAAAGAAAGAGGGCTCATGGCGTTTCTGCGTTGATTATTGCCTCCTCAACAATATTACCAAAAAAGACGTGTACCCTCTACCATGCATTGACGATGCCCTCGACTGCCCCCGTGGCGTCACCTTCTTTTCATCTATCATACTCTGATCTGGCTACTGGCAAATTGCTGTAGATGACATGGACCGGGAAAAGACCGCCTTCGTTACCCCTGACGGTCTTTACCAATTCAAGGTCATGCCCTTCGGTTCTGCAACGCTCCAGCGACGTTCCAGAGAATGATGGACATGCTCCTACAAGGATTTAAATGGTCGACATGTTTGTGTTACCTGGACGCCATGATCATTTTCTCACCAACCATTGCAAACCACCTTGAACACTTTTTGACCATTCTATCCATATTTCAACGGGCCAACCTGCAGCTATATTCCTCCAAGTGCCACTTCCGTCTTCGTCAGATTACCGCGTTGGGTCACCTTGTTGACGCAGCCGGCGTACAACCAGACTCGGCGAAAGTATGCGCTGTAACAAACTTCCCAGTCCCACGCTCTGTTCGCGAGGTTCGCAGTTTCGTGGGCCTCTGCTCCTACTTTCGCCGGTTCGTGAAAAACTTTGCGGCACTCGCACGGCCACTCACCGACCTTGTCAAACAAGACGTCCCATTTTGTTGGGGCCCTTCACAAGCTGACACCTTCTAGCAGCTAATCAGCGCTCTAACGACACCTCCTATTCTTGCACATTTCGACCCCGATGCTCCTACAGAAGTGCGAACAGATGCGAGTGGTCACGGAATTGGTGCAGTTTTGGCGCAAAGTCAGCGGGGCAACGACCGTGTAATCGCGTATGCAAGCCGTCTGCTTTCTAAGTTTGAATGCAATTACTCTATAATAGAACGGGAATGTCTCGCCCTCGTCAGGGCGGTTTCAAAATTCCGTCCTTACTTGTATGGCCGCCCTTTCCGTATCATCACAGATCATCACGCGCTGTGTTGGCATTCTTCTCTGAAGGACCCCACTGGACGACTTGGCCGTTGGGCATTACGCCTACAGGAGTATTCCTACTCGGTTGCTTATAAGTCTGGACGTCTCCATCTGGACGCCGATTGCTTATCCCGCTACCCTGTTGATCAGCCTGACAAATCAGACATTGAGCCTAGCCTCAGCGTCATGTCAATGTCCCAGTTTCTTCAGATTGGTGATGAACAACGTCGTGATGCTTCTCTGCGACAACTTATTGACCGTCTCGAATCTGCTCCGAATGACACGTCGCTTCGCATGTACGTCCTCCTGAATGGCACGCTGTACCGTCGTAGCCTCCAGCCAGATGGCCCGGGGCTCCTTCTTGTCGTGCCGAAACATTTGCGTTCAACCGTGCTGCATGAGCTTCACGATGAACCAACTGCTAATCATCTGGGTGTATCTCGGACGTACGACCGCGTACGTCGCCGCTTTTTTTTGGCGTGGTCTCGCCCGGTCCGTTCGCCGTTACGTGTCCTCCTGCGATAAATGCCAACGTAGGAAGCGACCTACTGCGCCCCCGGCTGGACTTCTTCAACCGATCTCCGTCCCAACCGAACCTTTCTTTCGTGTTGGTATAGCTAGCTCTTCTCGGTCTTTTTCCCGAGTCGAAATCGGGCAACAAGTGGGTCGCCGTTGCTATAGACTACGCGACTAGGTATGCCATCACTCGAGCGCTCCCCACCAGCACCGCTACTGACGTTGCGGACTTCTTGCTCCACGATGTCATCTTACACCATGGTGCTCCTCGCCAATTACTCACGTATCGCGGCCGTGCATTTTTGTCCCGAGTAATCGACGATCTTCTGCGCTCTTCCTCGACGCAGCACAAGTTGAACACTTCCTACCATCCCCAAACAAATGGCCTTACCGAATGGCTCAATCGGACCCTCACGGACATGCTCGCGATGTATGTGTCTTCCGACCACCATGACTGGGACCTGGCGCTACCTCACGTGACTTTCGCGTACAATTCTTTGCGCTACGACACCATTGATTATTCACCCTTTTATTTGCTTTATGGCCGTGATCTGACGTTACCACTCGACACCCTACTTCCAACCACTACAACGCCGTCAACTGAATATGCACGCGACGCTATTTCTCGTGCCAACCACCCACGTCAGATCGCCCGCTCTAGACTTTCAGCTTCGCAAGCCACCCAGAAAGCCATCTATGACAGCCGGCATGTTGACGTTCACTTCTAACCCGGTTCTCTCGTTCTCCTGTGGTGCCCAGTTTGTCGAGTTGGCTTATCAGACAAGTTGTCTCGCTACATGGGTCCTTACCGTATCATCCGACAGGTAACCGACGTCACCTATGAGATCATTCCTGCATCCGAGACCACAAGCCTGCCTGAAACCACACTCAGTGATCATGTGCATGTCAGCAGGCTAAAACCTTACCACCTGCCTACTGAAGACCGTAGTTAATGTGCACCGAGAAGGCGCTTTTACCGCGGGGTGGGGGGGGGGGGGGGGGGGGGGGGTAATGCTACATAGCTGACATATCAGGGGTCAGAAGACAACAACAAGGAAGTGGTCTGTCGGTGGTGCGTGCTGTCCTCCACCTTAGTCGACCCTATACGCATCAGTTTCAACATAGATTCTAAATAGACACGCCTCGTGTCATTTTTACGTAACAATATTCTGGTTAGTAACAAAGAATGAACAATTGTAAAGCTTAAGAGATACAACTTTTAATTTATCATCCTTATGAAATGAGCACAAGGGTAAGCCAAATGAAAATCAAATGTGCCAAAGCAGGGTATGGTCATAATCATAATTTTTTTTTCTCAGAGGGTGTTAACCAGGATTGCATGGCGGCTGGGGAAGGGGGAAAGCATGGTGTAGCTTGGGTGTGGGCCATAGAGCTTCTTATAAGTACACTAGAGGGAACTCTGGTACTAGCGTCTATGGGAGCTGCAACGCATGCCACTTCATCAAACGTGAGAATGATGGGTAGTACATGGATTAGCGTAATCTTCCTACTTTCCCCTTCGTTTGGGCGTAGTGGGTACTCTGCAAGAGTGCTTGCAGCAGCTACCCAAAGTTTTAGAAAAAGGCTCTGAAAGGCCGCTCTCCCAGGTTTCACTGTGACAGTGCTGCATGTATCGTGCAGGCCTGATGTTTTTTTTTTTTGCATAAAATGGGAATTTCACTCAAAATAAACACAATTTTCAATTCAGTTTTAGAAATTCATCAAGTTTTTACGCTTTGCCTCCAAATAATGCCCTCCCTTCTTCTCACACCCCCCCGCCTCTATTTTCTGAGCGGCCCCTGGCTGTGTTGGCTCGTGCAACTTCGTCCTATGCCTCAAAAGGTTGCCAACTCCCGTGCCAGAAGATCAGAAAGAGTCACGGTGCTAGGAAAGACATGATTGATTGATATGTTGGGTTTAACATCCCAAAACCACTATATGATTATGAGAGATGCCGTAGTGGAGGGCTCCGGAAATTTCGACCACCTGGGGTTCTTTAACGTGCACCCAAATCTGAGCACACGGGCCTACAACATTTCTGCCTCCATCGGAAATGCAGCCGCCGCAGCCGGGATTTGAACCCGCGACCTGCGGGTCAGCAGCCGAGTACCTTAGCCACTAGACCATCGCGGCGGGGCCTAGGAAAGACATAAGAAAAAGTTCATTCTGGGGAGAAGCTTCGCCCTGGAGCAGGAACTAATTACAAAGTAATAACAAGACCTAAGACAAGCACTTGCCTTGCCGTGGTCCCACCAGAGCAGGCACAGATCCTCAACACAGTCTGGTATCACGTATGCACGCTTTGACTCCTGTTTCAAACGCAAAAGATATTGAGGACAGGCTCATGAAGGATATAATGCCACCTTTCAAATTAGGGTATGTTTGCTCTGCTAGTGCGGTTATGCAACATTGAAAATTACAGTTACATAATCACCACCTTCGTTTCCCCTGCACCACTGTGAACTGGCAATCAATATAATTAATGCAATTAAATACATTTCAGACTACCTTCCACAAAATGACAAGTTGCGCTAGATCACTGAAGTCTTTTTTGACAGATCTTGAATCGACAACAGCATACAAAGGAAACTAAAGGAAAAGTTAAAAAGGCTACAACCTTATGCCTGTTTGCATTAGGATTTGTTCAACATGACAAATTTACATGCATACAAAAATTTATGAAAGCATTAACCAAATGCATAAGCAGACAATGAAAATGTGGGCTCATTGTTCCATCCAGTAAGGACATGAAAACACATTAGCACCTTACACAAATTACCCACGAAACTGCCACTACGTTTCACCCACTAGAACATGCACTAACACTAGGGAAATGGGTCTTAAAAAAATTCTGACACAACTAACCGACTCCTCCTCTGCCGCACAAGATCACATTGATGACGGGTAAATAATAAAGCGACATGTCTACAACATATTGGAAGGCACTACAGGTAGGACTGAAAACACATGCAGCGTGCCGACTTACAACTGACCTTCTCGTGGAAGAAAAAAAAATAATATCATTTGTCATTGTTTTGTTATCACTTCATGCACATGCAGGTCATGCAAATAATGAAAAAAAGAATACAGCCAGAAAGATAATAACGATGATGATGACGATGATGATATCTGGAGTTTTATGTTCTAAAACCATGATATAATTATGAGGGACGCTGTGGTGGAGTGCTCTGAAAATTTCGACCAACTGGTGTTTTTTGCACACGCAATAGCACTGCACGGTACAAAGGCCTCTAGTATTTACCGTCCATCAAAAAGATAAGTGAAATTGAGAAAAGTAAAAGATAAATAAGAACAATGAAACACCAATGCCAAGTGAATTTAGATAACTGTCTTAGCAATAAGCTCAGGAAAAACTTGTCTCATATATATGCATTCACACTACCTAAGCAAGATCATGCTTAGCACACACTATACATACAAACAATGTAAGCGTCTGTAACAAACACTCATGACATGGGTTTCACAACAGACATCAATTCCTTCAAGCAATATGATTCTACTTTAATGAATCAACATGTAGGTGGAAAGAACTACTGCAGATTAAAATTGATTTTAAGCTTATGTGCGAAGTTTCCATGGGGAATCAAACTTTTGTTGTATATCCTTTGAAGCAAGATTGTTTGTTGCCAACAGCAGCACGTGCACAACTTCGAAAATCTGCTCCCAACTTAAAGCACGGCAATGCTCTGCAAAGTGAGGTAATGTACATGCCATTTTGATGCTATATTGCATGTGCTCATTGAGTATTGATAGTGTCTTTAAAGGTGTCAGTGCCTTCAACGGTTTTGACTACGTGCCTTTAAGGTTTTGAGAATCAAAGTGCCAGTCAGAAAGTTACCTCAGCATGTTCTAATGCGGCATGTATTTTATGCCTACCCACAAACTCGAGTGAGCATCCATCTTTGCTGCCGTCTTGTACTGTTTTGTCCTGTACACGCAAATATTTCAGCCCACATGAAAAAAAAAATTAAGCAATGATCTAATTGTGACAGACAGAGGTTGAAATTTTAGTCAAAAGGAGGCAAGGAAGCAAAAGAAATGTAAATAAATAAGTGCTGCATGTAGCCTGCACAATCTACTGGCATGTTGACCACTCTGACAGGTTGCTGATGTGTTTCTTATTACAGGTACCAGCAAGCCCTTCTCGGTGATATAAACACAATTATCGCTTATTATCAGATGACCTACAGGCAAAATGATAGTAATATTTGGCTGCATTTTTAACTTATAGGCCATGAATATGCTAGTCAATGAAGGAAGAGGACACAGAAATAAACATATTAAAAGCGAACAGGGGAAAATGATCAAAGTGTGGGCAGAAGTGGCAGCTAAGGCTACAGTTCAACTTGCTGGTGATTGCAAAATGTTAGACTATGCCAGCGTGATGAGGACTAACAAAGGATTCTGCATTTGCATTCATCTACATGCTACTACATTACCAACACCCGCAACATTATATTAAAACAAGAAATAGAGAAGTCTTTTGAAGCCACAAAAACTAGGCTTTTGTGAATTGGAAAGTTGCACAATTGATGCTGGTATGCACTAGCATTAGTTTTTGTCTAGTAGTACTTTCCATGTGAAATGTCATGACCGCAACCACACCACATTCGGTGCACAAGAACTGACCTGGAAAGGATGCCGACAGAGAACTCTCTTTCCTTTTTGAGGTGGTGGCTCATCCATTTTCTGCATTAGATCCAGCAGAGCATAACCTGTGCAAAATACATTCATACATGGAATTGAAATCCCCGACAGATTTGCTCTCGTTTGTATGAATTGTATATGGGACAATGTAAAAGTGGACACCAGAAAAACAGACTATTCGATGGCTTCTGTGATGTCTTATACAAAGTATAAGCACTAGTAATCTCTTTTAGATTGTCATGTAGTCTCAATTCGCTTCTGCCATCTCCATGAACTTTTTTTTTTTTATAGTATAACAGTTTTACTTGTACGAATATGTGTGGCCCTCCAGAGTGCACCCTGATCTGATGTAAGCGCATTGCATGCCCAACACAAGCACTTATTCGCATAGTTGCAATAAAGAATTTACAATAAGCAAAGGGCAATGCAGATTATTAGGCAATTACTTCAAACGCCCGAATGGAGAAAATTGCAATCCGGCTCTGACCTTGGTGTCCGTAAAGGCGATAGCAGGCCTTCTTTCCAGGTATTGTGACTTTCTGGATGTCGAGGCTGAGCTTGATGCAAGAGAGATTCTTTATTTCCACTAGCTTCAAAAAATAAAAAGAATTATGTAATGAACACTTGTTCAGCTAAACATAGTCATCAAGTGTATTGACACTGACAGAAAGCAGACAGTTCCACTGGTATTTATTAATAATTACAATGGTGGCTACATTTACACGAGACTTGCACCTGCTATGGTAACTTGGCAGTTAAGGTGCTGTGATGCTAATCTTGAGCACACAGGTTTGATTCCCTGTGAAAGTGATCCCGATGGGTTGAATTGCAGAAACGCCAACATAGATTTGAAGGCACATTAAAGAATCTCAAATGGACAAAACTAATCTAGAGCCCCCAAGCAGGACATGTTTGAGTCATGGTTACGGCATGTAAAAATAATTTGAGGAGCCTGACATGCAAAACCATGATATTATGAGGCACACTGTAGTGCCGGATTAAAAATTTCTACCACCTAGGGTTCTTTTTTTTTTTTTTTTAAGTGCACCTAAATCTCTATAAACAGGCATTTAGCATTTTCACCTCCATTGAAAATGCGGCTGCCACAGCCCAGATCAAACAACTATCGCCGTTTGGAGCACCAGCTGAGCCCTGTACCATTGTGGTTTTGGCAAGTAAAATCACAGAAATTATTATTATTATTCTTTACTACTACTACTATTATTATTAATATGACATAATGTCCTGTTTTGAATTATCTTCGAAGTTCTGCAAGACTGCCTCTCATGTTGAGGAAACCCAGCACAGAAACGAAGCTTCAAGTGGAGCTCAAGGAAGTAACCACAAGAGAGGAAACCAGTGACTGTTATACTCAAAGATAGATCTCAAAATCTGTAATTGCTAACACTTGGCTCTAAACATTGGTTGTGCTTACTTTTTACGACATGGCTGAACCAAAGCTTTTGTCTGCTAGGGTAAGCAAACCTGCAATGCTCACTGCACATATTCTGAACAACTTTAATTTGTTGCAGCCATCCTAAAGACTTTTAAGTTTAAAACATTCAAAGTAACAATATATCAAGACTCTCTTGTTTGCTTACCTTGTAGACACATCCAAGGGCGGGTTGCTTTTGGCATGTTACTAAGTGAGTTCCAATGCCAAAGCTATTTATCTTGTGCCCCTATGAGAAAATTGAGAAGCGGGAATGGTGTCCAAACACACAGCGACGAAACACACACACAAAATCTACGGTACAGTACACTGTTAATGCGAACAATTAGTCAATGCTTGCACAGATTGCTAGACAAATGGGACAGGGTAGTCCAAGGTGATCTAAAGTTGTAGACCAGCTTGTGCAACCTGCCGCTTTACAAAAGCACTAAATTTCTCAACTAATGAGAGATAAAATGCGAGAATAATGTTCCCATTATTAGCGTACTGTACTGCACACATGTACAGCAAGCTGTAGCAGTAGCCAACTTTCTCCAAGTGCGCAGTAGCCAACTACAACAAAAGCAGCAAAGAAGACCTGCATGAAGAAAAGACGCCGTGGCCACTGATAATATTCAAGCAAGGGTCCTTACACATGTCATGCCATGTTTTATACTCTTCCATGCCTGGAAGAAAGAAAAGGAGAGAAATGGTGGCAACAAAACTCAGCGCAGTTGGCTTGCCAACTACACTACTAGTTCGGACTAGAATGGCTATTTGCAGCTTCAAGAACTTCAGCAGTGAACACTTCTGAGCAAACAAATGCAACACCAAAGGAGAGTCAAGTGAAGGTGAAGTTCTTCTCGATAGTATCTAACGGTCAAAAAACGTGCAATGAGATTCTTCAACAGGCAACTAAATGACCAACGAGTCATGCAGCATTATGCACTATCAAGCAAATGCAAGGCAAAGCCCTTTTGCGAAAACCCAGTGTGTAAACACTTTCACAAACTGTATCACAATCTGTCTTTCCTTCATTAGTTGAACAACTGGTAGCCCTTTTCTTTTACTAAGGCTTCACGTGACACTTTTGCTGCAGACACATAGGCGAGAATGCGATGATCGAGATGGATGGTGAGAAACAAAATATGCACAGTGCAGGTTCCCTGGCCCGACTGATGTAGAGTGCTTGTCTTGTTAAGGATGTGGCTCTGCTTGGTGAAATATAAGGGCAAAAATAATGGAAAGACGAGCACAGGCAATGAGTGAAAGCAGAGACAATATGACAGTGTGATCAAGACCGATTTTCAGTGTCTATGATAGTTCCCCTTTCCATCTAGCACTACAAATTACGTTTGGCAAATAGATTGTTTTGTCTGCCTCATTAGGAGGAAGCAAAAAAAAGAATCTGGCACAGTGCTTTATCCATGGCACAAATGAAATAGCAACTCAAAGATGGCAACACTTCAAGAGGATAAATTGAGTAACTGGTGCAACTTTTTTACCGCTGCCAATGTGTTGTGTTTGTGGTTCTGGTGCAGCTGGCCCTACACTGTATATGAATTTCAACAAGAATATAAAAAGTGCAGTTTTCGTACAGCATGAAGTAGACTTACCAACAATTTGTGAGGCCTTTAGATGCAAGCACATTATTTTTCGTTAGAAAAACTAAAGAGTCCGTGGTCTAAGATGCAATGTATGAGCCTATATTCAGCCTTGTGCAGTGGAAAAAACTATGCAGCGCAAAAGCCAAGCGAAATAGATAAAAAGAAAAATGCTCCCTCGTAGCTTGTTTCCAATCGTCTCGAGGTGAAACACACACAGCCTGCTGCGGCTTCTTTGTTTCTTTATCCGAAAATATTGCAGACCAATTACAGCATGAGCACAAGTGGGGACATAACAACGTTACTTAGAGTGGCGAGACAAAATTTTTGCTGTTACAGTCGAAACCCGCAATAACGAAACCCCGCGAGTACGAAATCCCCGCGGCAACGAAATATTTCCGGATCCCTGGCGAACTTTCATAGAAGCCCATGTATTACGTATCTCGCTGCAACGAAATGTTTTTGAACGGCGATCCCGCAATAACGAATTTTCTACCATGGTGCGGGCCTTCTTTTATCCTCCTGCCAAAGGTTAACTGTCGAAAATATGCTCGTATGCGTGTTATGCGCACTCAAAGTTTGTAAACGTCTGCTTTTGCCGCGCTAGCGCGGGTACCGCCATTTTTGTTTACTTAAGGGGGGACGCAGCTTTCGGATTGCAAAAAATGGCGAAAAAATCAATTTTTTGAAAATCGTTTTCAGTTTTTGGAACCGTTTTTCTATCTGGTTCCAAAATATATACACTGAAAACCACGCAGAAGTGCTTCGAAAAATTCATTTCACCCACCTAGGTAGCGAAACTTTTTCTGGAAATCGCGAGAAAACAGCGATATTCAAAAAACTGTGGCTTCGCGATGGCGGGGCCGGAAGCCGGCTTCGTGGGTTCATCGGAAAGAGCATTTTTCCGTGTTTAACTTTCCCACCTCAGCTGGCTCCTCCCTTTAAAAACAAGCGCACAAAAAGCAAATGTTTGAAGGTCATTTCGAGACCCTCGATTGGCTGTGGCCGCCATGTTGCCTCAGCTCACCTCGCCATTGGCCCGACGCTCGCTCCGGGAGATCGTCGTCTGCTGCTTGTGCGTCGCGAGGACATGGCTCTCGAAAATTGCTACTTCGTGACGTGTTCACGGCTCGATGATCACTTAAGATATAATTACGCTTTAGTTAGGAGCAGTAGGCAGATGCGCGATCAGGTTACTACGAGCGCGGCGCGTCATCTGAATCGTTTTTAGCCCTCACTCCGCCTACAGCGGGCAGGAACGACGCACTAGCGCACTCGTGGCGACGTGCTTCGTCGCAAGCAACGAAGCTGTAAGTGGCGGCACGGTCAGATTGCTACGAGTGGCCACACTGGATGCACGATCAGATTACTACGAGCGGGCGCGATGTCTACGAGCGTGGCCCTCATCGGAGTCATCCTTAGCCCTAACTCCGCTGACAGCGAGACTGCGGGCACGAACAACGCGCTAGCGCATCTAAAACAACCCGCGGGTTGTTTTCCAGTGCGAAGAAAGAACTTTGAAGTTGTTGCATGGCAAGGGTCTGCAAAGTAAGTTGACCGACTTCTGGCAATAAATTTTCGTTCTGCTGGCCGTGTCACTGTTTTTTATGTCTTATACTCGCGGCAACGAAATTCTCCCAAAAACGAATTTTTCGGTTTCCCCGGCGATTTCGTTACTGCGGGTTTTTTACTGTAATAGGAGTGGCGAATTTCATGATAAAAACAGAGCCACCATTCTGTAGCATTGCCTTTTCATGCTTTTCGCTGTTTGTCAGAGATCAGAGCAATGGTCCAGCCCCTTTACGAAAGGAATCAGCCAGCCGTGGTCAGTGCATGATAACACTAGCATAGAATCAAGCAGGAGCACCACTTCAAATAACAGCCTTTATACATCGGATGTGTTTCACGGGGAATTAATGGTTTTGCAACACACAGCAATGGTAGGTGGCGAACAGATGAGTCACAGAAATTGAATCTTGATGAGAGGTTAGAAGATTCATGCAAATCGTGCGATCCAAGCATTCTGAATGGGCCTTTTTCAGGTCTGAACAATGCCTCCGGTGGAAATCACAGAAATTTAAACTGGGGCCACCGAATTTGTCGGTGGAAAATTTAGAGGGCCAGGCATTTTTCGTGATACTTTGCGAATGTCAACGCCCAGTGACCCCCCCAAAACACGCGAGGTCTCCACCGCTGCGCATGCACAGACTAGTCTTTTGAAAAAGACCCATTAAGAATGTCATAACATGTGGAAATTTATTCTACAGATGACCTCACTGTAAAAGTTCTCAAAAGGTTGCCCTCATAAGCAAACTCCAAAGAACAAAATATGCCTTCAGCACACTTAATATGCAAATCTGACAGCTTTCAATTTGCGGGCATTCTATTTTACTAAGTGTTTTGGCAAGGACTGCAGATTGAATCAACGTATATACTCTAAACACGATGTCATTAGTGCCTAGCAAGCATTTAGCTGGCTCATGCATGCATGTCAGTTATAATTAAATTTTTTTATTAAAATCAAACTTTCTTTCATTTAAGGTGTAGAAAGATTTCTCTTGACCTTTAACACAAATGGCAAATATTTGCAACCACCAATATAGATTTATCACGAGGTTATGAGTGAGGTAGCTTACCTGACAGACATAACTGATATCAAGCTCTTTCCTTCCATGCGTGTGAAACTGACTTGCAGCAAAAAGGAGAGTTGGGCTAGTAAGCTTGTGTTCAAATTGTTGTTTTAGTCTTTCTTCGTAATTCGTCTCTACACTGTTTCAATACAAACTGACTTGTTTGTTCGTAAATTAAAATGTAGAGCGCTTCTGCCATATTAATTTCCTACCGCATTAGTTAACTGGAGTGAACTGTTGCAATTACAGCCCCTTCTGCCCCGAACATCCCCACGTCGAAACGGAAAGGCTACAACCCCAACTTTGAATCTAAAGAAGGAAATGAAACAGACAGAGCTAATCAATGCCTATGCTTTTGTTTGCAGGGTCAGGTCAGTACAAGTAACGTACAATCCTATATAATCCCAGAACTAAGAGCACTCCAGAAGTGAGGGCCACACTTTCTCTCTTATTTTCTTTAAAGGCTCTGACCTGTTCATTGAGTGAGACGATAGTCTCCTCATTTATGTCATTGCTGGCCACAATGGTGAGGGTCCTGAACCACTCCTGGTTGTACTTGTTGGCGAGCTCATCAAAGATGTTGAAGGCGCACGAGGAGAGGTACGCCAGGTCGCCACTGTCTATGCGAACGCCCACAGCACGATAGCCAAGGTCATTCAGGGCCATGGCTACAGCGGAGAAATTCAGCAGTCCACTCCTGCAAAAATCATCATGGGAACATCCGTAAGGCGGCACTGCATAGTCATTTATAACCCAAGATTAAATACATACTCTGCCTTCACAACTACGGCACACTCCATTAATCCGGGCAAGAGAAGTGTGATAGGCGGCCTCCATTCTAACAATGGTTGCTTTTCTGCTGCTTAAATAAACCTATGCACATAATCAATTAAAAGTTCCTCGTGTCTTATCAAATTATCAACTTTGGCTGAGCAGTGATGTTGGAACATTCGCTAAGTTTGCCAGAAAATTCATGTTTTTCACAAATAACTAGCCACATGCACATGTGTCTGCAAGGGAAGGTTGCCTACCTTTAATACATAAAAGGTACTTGACACCATGTGATTGGGCGGATTGCGACTGCATGGGCTATCGTCATGGGAATGAGCAAATGCACTTGGACTTAGCTCATCTCTCCGCGCTCTGATAGAGTCTCCCAGCATTCGATAGTAACCCTCCATTTTCCTGGACAAGCACAACAGTGCGCCAGCGGCATTTTGGTGGAGTTTCTTCCGCGTCAGCGATTCTGCTGGCTGGCAGGCCCTCAGGTCTATCCCATTGTCGTACTTCATAGGGCCTGCACAGATGACATTGAAGCTCCTGCCACTGATTCCACCGAAGGAGCACTGTTTATGTTCAACGTTCCCAGACACTGTGTCAACCGATGTCATCACAGCATTGAGGGAACCGTCAGTGATGGAGAAATGCCACTTCTGCAGCCCTTCAGAGCATCAATGTTCCTGGTAGCGACCAGAACAGCAGACCGAGCTACAAGTCTCCTGCTCTATGAAGGTTTCAGCATTGGCGAACGAAAAGTGTTCGTTGACATTTTAGAACCCCCGATCGTTCATGTCAACGTACAGACACTGCGACCGTACATCTCCAACGACTCACTTTTCACGGCTCTTCCGCTTTATGGCAAGGCACATGACCTGCAGTACACAACAGTGAAGAAACACCGAACGACCTACCCAGGAACGCGTGTCCTCAAAATGAAGATGACTAGACTAGCTCTTAACTTCGTTACTATAATCAAGCATCATGTCATGCTTGATTACCAAGGCATTCGTCAAGAATGTACTCGATGCAGTGGTAGAATCACATGGTCATAAAGTTTTTTGCCAGAGGTATGGTGCATTCAGCCACATCACGAAGATGTGCACAGTTGCATGCAGGAAATGCAGCGGGGATCACTTTGCGAATGTACTAAAGCCCACAAAGAGAGCTATGCGATGCAGTCTTCTCGACAGCATGAACAGCAACTCAGCAAACAGGCAACACTCCCAAGACGCGAAGCCTGAAACCTTGAGCTTGGAGTCTGGAGTGAGCACATGTGAAAGCCTGCACAATGCAGAGACTGTCGCGATAACCAGCAAGTTAGTGGAAGCATCTAGACCCCTCTGTCGCCACCGTTGGACTGGTATTCCACATGAACATCTACAAATGATAAACCTGCTGTTGTATCGTGCGTCGCGTCCGACACACTGAGAAGCAAAGGCTTGGCACCCAAAGCATGGGCCGAAAAGAAGAAGTGACACAGCCGAGACCCGAGTAGCAACTTTCTGTTTAGTATGTATAGCCCACTATATATACAATTGTACAATGCCCTCAAGGGGGCCAGAGAACCGGTTTCCAAATCGGAACCGAAACCCCGACATCACATCATCCCCCCCCCCCCCCCGAATTGAACAGCATTCAGGGTCCTACTACGTAACACGATGCAAATTGAAGAATGAAAATTTACAGCATGCATACCAAAAACACAAAAGCAAAACACACTGACAAATGCACCAACCCATCAAACCCTCCTCCGAGAGAGGTTATCCGCATAGTCACTGTCATGTTTGAGTCTACAGCGCCGACGCTTGTAGCTGTGCCATTTCCACAAAAGGCGTCTGAACTGTCGCCACATTGCTGTCGCAGATTTGCATCGCTGTTGCAAAGAATTAACGGCATGTTTGCTTAATCTATACTGTTCACCACAATGTATGTAATCTGGAGATATCTGCGCCAGGCAGAAGCTTGTTGACAACCACAGCAATGAGCGTTCCCAGCCCTGCATCGTATTTATCAAACTGTTTTTGGATATGAAATTGACGAGTTGGAAGTGAATGGTGAAGATGCCTCCTTAAGGTGCTGGAACACTTTTTCGCAGCATGTGGGGCAAATTAGAATTTCCAGCGGCACCATACTGACTTAAGGAAAAGAAACAAGTTTCTACTTAATTTCCGTGCTTGATCCCCACCACCCCATCTCTTCTTTCTTTAATTTTCCTCTCTTCTTGAGAAATACGATACTTTATACTGACAGGTTGTTTGTTAGCCTAGCGTGTGTAACAGTGGTGTTAACTTTTTTTTTTTTGGCAAAGTCACCACGACAGTTCTGAAAAGTCGCCAAAAGTCACTAAATGAAAGTGATGATGATTATTTTTTTTCTGAGTATTTAGTCAGCCTCCGTGGCTACAGGGCTCATTACTGCGTTCTGCACGGATGGCCGCCCGCGGGGTTGAATGACGAAGAAGCGGCGGCTACAGAGAATTTCGCGGGAGACACCGAGCCGCATGGAAATGTTGAGACTTGGTCTGGACATCGGCTCATCAAGTACCGGAAGCATCGGGACCATTGTTCGCCCGTAATTAAAGTGTCTTCGGACGGCTCCCCATCTCTCTCCCTGGTGCTTGAGTTTGAACATTGTTACTTGCTCGGCTTTGCTTGGGAGAAGGTTTTCCACTGGTGCGGGCCGCAGGGGCGGCCGATGAAGATGCTAAACTCCGACTGACAAGAAAATATGCCGCATCGATAGTGGCGATTGGTTTGGTGCCCCGGCAGGGCGGTGTCGGGTCCTACAAAAAATGGACTACGAGACGATACGAGGGTGTCAGAGAGAAGATGCGCTGAGCTCGAGATGGTAAAGAAGCTAAGATGGAAATCACTGAGAGGCACGACGTAGGCGACGATGACGAAGACGATGAAGACGCTGACGAATTGGACAGATCAGACCTCGACGCCAAGAACCAACCTTCGGCCCCGATTCGAGCAGCCAACTCCGAGGCCCCGACTACATGGACATTCTGTGAGACGAACTTCACCTCCCTTACCTAAACGAGCTTTGCGGGAAAAGATGCGGCATATTGAGACATTGCGCGGTTTTAATAATTGATAACTTCATCATTTGTGTCGTCATGTGTTTTTTTTTTATATGCATACCCGTGTATTGTTACAGTTACTTTCTTTATGTGCCTGCCCTGTGTCGAATGTCACAAATGTCCAAATCATGTGTTATAATTTTGTGTAGTGGTTGATGTACGCGGTATACGATGTTTTAAGTTAATAATAAATTAAATGAATCAGTAAACAGGAACAGGTCGTAGCGTCTCTTACTTCCCGGCCCCAGCACGAATCCCTGTATGTGGGAAGTGATTGAGACAAACAGCCAAGAGGGAACCGGATAGACAAGGGGTTGAGTGGTCTTCCCTCTCTTTGGTAATCGGTGGCATAGCGGGGGACATCTCAAATTGGTTAAAGCATGTGAAGGGATTACTTTTATTTAAACAATATTTTCAATCAATTTCTGTTGTGGCAAGCTAAGCTCTATTGCGCGACATTGTACGCTAAAGATCCCAGCGCCAAGAGCAGTTTGATCCTGTATGCTTTGGCCTCATTTATTGAAGCTCATTCCCAGTATTCCACTGTTCTCACAATTTCCTAATTTTTTATGCCCGTTTTAGAGCACTCTACTTCAAATTTTGAAAGTCCCCAGAAATGTCGCTAAAACTCCAAAAAGATAAAATTGTCGCTATCACGACTAAAAAGACGCCAAGTTTACCGACTTTCTCGCTAAGTTAACACCACTGGTGTGTAACTGCAGCCTGCGTAGGATTGCATCTATTTTTTGTGTGAGTTATACTGATGCTATTTATAAGTATTTAGTTTATAAGGGCCTTCAGTGCTTACATCCACTGGTTCGACAATCTTTCATTTGTGGTTGGATGGAGCTTGCATTTATTCTTAGAATGTAACAGACTATAGTGACAACAAAAAGCCAAGCCATTGGCAGGTACACACACTGAGGCATGGAACTTACCGAAGGACATCGTAGGTGTCAATCAATGCGAGGAAATTTTGGGGGAAGGAAACTGCATACGAGATGAATGCCGCCAGTTCCCCGCTGCTTGCCTCATCCTCTATGGTCTTGAACAGGCCTGTCAGTTCCTTTCTCCATTTACAGCACAGTGCCAGAAAGTCCACCTCCTCTCCTCCAACTGCCTTCAATTTCTGCCAAGCAAACAACAGGAGAACAGGCCGACTTGAGAAAAAGAACTTCGCAAGTTGCCTCTAATTCCACAATGCAATCACAATAAAATGTCACCACAAAATGTGCCCCCTTAAAGGGGCCCTGAAACACTTCTTCAAGTAACCATGGCATGAATTCACTGGAGGAGCTTATTGCATCACGAATTTAACGCCGCAAAAATTTAAAGAATTCGTCCAGTGCAAGTGGAGCTGCAAAGGTTTGTCACGTGCTGCAATTGCATTCTCTCTTCTCTCGTCCCGACAAAAGCGCTGGGACGGATGGCAGGGCCACAAAAGAACATCACGCGCGCTTTGCGACTTTGAGCACTTTTTTTCTTTTTCGAATGCGTGGCTTTTTCAGTGCGATCGCACCTGCACGCATGGACAAGTAGCGCCCTCCCGCGGCGATCTCTGTAACGAGCGAGCACGCCATGTTCAAATCGGCCAATGGCTGATTGATGGATCGTTGATGTATGATTTTTTGGCATATAAGGCGATTTGTTGAGAGAAAAGAAAGCAATTTTTAGCTGACTTTGATCATTTATTGTGATTTCCAGGCCGCGTGTTGTGCTATACTATTTGGCTCGGGTGTTGTCGGGAGCCTCTACTACCGATAGGCAGCATTTTCTGACCATGCTCAGAAAGTGTTGCAGGGCCCCTTAAAGGCACATACCGCGGACTGCTGTATAAGTGTCCATTTCGGGGCACATGCATTTTACTTCAAAAAAGAGAGAATTGTATTATGATGATTTGTTCATTTTTAGTCATTGTAATTAGGATGTAACCAGAGTTAACTATATCATGTTCTTTTTTTAAATTTTCATGTCATTTTTTTTTCATGCATATGAACTGAAGATTTAACATTAGGCAGTGCATGTTAAAGGAACCCTGCAATGGAATTCAAACAAGATGAGCTAATTTACCTGCTAGGTTTAGTAACAATATTACTGTGACAACGGTTATGAGCTTGAAACTAGCTGAAGCGTTCCCCCTTTACACTTTTGGTTAATCTAATTGCAACAGTCATTTTCACTATCAGGTAGTCTTCATTACTGTGTCTTTATCCTGCTACCTGATTCACATTTTCACCTAATGACCAACATGAATATTATGTCGGGTTTCATGTCCCCAAACCACGATGTGATTATGAGGGAGGCGTAGTGGAGGGCTACGGAAATTTTGACCATCTGCTGTTCTTTAATGTGCACTGACATCACACAGTACACAGGTCTCTACTATTTCGCCTCAATCAAAATGTGACCGCTGCGACCGGGATCGTGATTAATATAAAGCTTTTCCAGTGTAAGGCGTAATACTCCTTCCCCTTGGAGAACACTGGAACTACTTGCGAGGTTAAGAATTGTGCTATTGTACAGCTTTAGATGGTGTGCGAATATCTGTGCAACTTGCACAGGGATTTACACACTATCTAGGTTACGAGAGTATGTATTTTACGCAATCGCACACCTGACTGGTCATTTGTGCATTAATTTCGACACCCCAAAAAAATTCTTTAGCAGATAAGACGAACAACACTATATGTATTATGCAAAAAGTTCTTTAGAAGATGGCAGTGGTCGTTGCAAGAACCTGTTACTGCCGCAGTAAACATGTCGCAATAAAAGCCAGCTTAATCACTTGAGTCCACTGGCAAGCTTGCCTTTCTGAAGAGAAAAAAGGCTTGTGATGCAATGCAGGTTAAGACATTGACCAGAAAAAAAAAAAAAAACACACAGGGCAATCCTGCCAAACATCACAAGCAGGAAGTCCTTCAGTGCATCCCAAGCATGAGCATGTACCAACTAGCCCCTATATATGTTTGTTGTTTTATAAGAAAAACAACAAACAATGAACAGCTAACTTTTGCTTTGAAAGCATAGCCCTACTATCTTGCATCTCCAACATGCAAAAGAGGCAGCACTTCTCACTGAAGTTCATTGTCTACAACTTCTTGCTGCCACATGCTGCAACAATTACCTTGCTGATGCAGTGACCTTTTACTGTACTCAATTACAGCCTAAGAAAAAGAAAGTCAGTTCCACGGCAAGGGAGAAGCAGTGAATGCAATAGCAACACTCTTGAATGTCACAGGAAGAACGGCAAGCAGTTCGAAAATTGCAGCACGCTGCTCAAACATGAATGACGTGCAAAGAGAACACACAAGTATACCCCAGATGAGCACAACCTAACAACTGTCACAGATGTTAGTAATTTGTATGTTTGAGCAAGACGCTAAAAGTGTAAGCTATGCACAACCAACTAGCTCCTACTTTCCCTCTTCTAGTTAATTAACCTAACGTACGAAGCCACGGCACCAAGCGAAGTGACCATGCGCTCTGCAATTTCTATGCAATCTTTGCCATAAAAACCCAAGACATACCATAATTACTCGAATCTAACGCGCACCTTTTTTCCGGTTAAGCGAGTTCATAAATTGCATGCGCTTTAGAATCGAGTACAAAAAAAAAACTGAATAGGGTCATTCTATTGCCATTGGCATATCCGAAACGGCTGCCCCCTACGTGCATGGGCATGGCGCATCGGCGATTTTTGCCTATATGTTTCCCATGTGCGGCACTTCGTACATGTGCCGAGGAGTTCGTCATCTTGTAGTGCATTAACGTCGACAAGATGGAAGGACCGACTCCAAAAACTCGAGTGGACCACGATGCCGCTTTTAAAAGAAAAGTCATTGCGTGTGCAGAAACGGACGGAAATGGGCCGCATCGCGGTCGTTCGGAGTTCCCGAAACGTGCGTGCGGGACTGGCGGAAAGAAAAGCAGAAGATTGTCGACAGCAAAGCTTCACACAAAGGCTTCAGTGGACCATAGCAGGGTCGGTTTTCGCAAATTGAAGAGCTGCTCGGCGAGTATGTGCTTGAGCAGCGAGCGGCACAGCAGCCCGTGACGACAGAACTGCTCCAAGTGCAGGCTATGCAGTTAGCCTTAGAATATAAAAAGGGCTAATGCGGAGCCAGTTTAAAGCGAGCAGGTGCTGGCTAACTAACTTTATGAAGAGGAAAAGCTTTTCCCTCTGAAGGCGAACGGGGATATGCGAAAAGTTTCGAGAGGAGTACGATGAAAAGCTTCACAGTTTTCAGAGGTTCGTCCTTAACTTGCGGCACAACAACGGCTATCTGCTTGGACAAATCGGGAATACCGATCAGACGCCTCTTTACTTAGACATGCCTAGCACCACAACCGTCGAGAAGAAGGGGGCGAAGCAAGTTCGTGTGCTGACATCGGTCCACGGTAAAACTGCAGTGACGGCAATGATCTGTTACACGTCAGATGGGCACAAGCTTCCCCCATACCTCATATTTAAATGGAAGACGCTCCCGAAAGGAGTCGTTTTTCGAGTGGTGTGATCCTGTGGGCCGAGAAAAATGGGCGCGCGTTGCAGTTGATGTCTTACTTTTTTTTTCGTCATCGAAACCGGGTGCACGTTACAATCGAGGGAGCGGTAAAATCGAGTAAATACGTAAATGTACAAACTGCTCCCCTTACCAGATAAGCAAGTGCGCACAGGCGGCCACACCCTGTCGGGAAAAGTACAAAAGGTACAGGTAGGAGGCACGTGCATCTCAACTGTGGTGGGGAACAATCAGGGCAACAGCCTTATAAAGAGCACCTTTTGCACCATCTTAAGGGAATAAAAAGAGCATGCTAAAGTGCCTCACAGTTCTGTGTATTGCAAGTGGGAAATGGTGCATATAAATAGCCAACCGTTAACACGCTGAGGCACATAGGTATGCTTCATGGCAGAGTCACGTAACACATTATATGAAGGAGCACAGGATCCTAAGCTAGAATCCTTGGTTGCAGCCTTGTTCCACAAATATTCTGAATTGTTTTTATTTGTAGATTTTGTATGTATATGTGTTATGTATATGTGTCTCTGTGTGTGTATGTATTTTATATATATCAATGCTGCAATACAGAACATGACAGCAATGGCGAAAACCCGATTAGAGTGTCCATATAATATTTATCGCAATAAAATGTCAGCTCTCACAGAAACGGGGCACACCTGCCCATCATTTGTGAAAGACAGTTGTAATATACTGGGTGAAAATATTTCTTCAGAGTACCAAGAAAGCTACGAAGCCGAAGTGCATGCCTGCTACCATGCCAAGAAATAGTACTTAAGTTTGATGATAATTTTTACATTTGCCTGGCTGAATGAAATGCTGCTATATTTAGCATGAGACTCAGCAGTTGCGGGAAGTATCGACAAAATACAGTTATTGGTCAGTTCGCAAGAATGCCATTCTTTTCTTTCCCTTTTATAGGCAGCACACCCTTTGCAGCATGCGCATTTTTCAACGTAAACACAGCATCTATGACGTGATGGGTCAGTGCCCGGCCATTAATGCACCGTTTAGTTTTAAAAATATATACATACATGTAATACAGCACTAAAATGAACACTGAACTATCAAAATGTTTCTCTCATTCACATTTTTCGTGTATGTAGTACATTCTCTAAATTTGCTAACGATGCGAGTTAGCAAGACAAGTCAGCCACGAGCTGCCGTACTTCTTGGTACTACTTGCGGAGGTGCCACCTCCATAGCCTTCGCTCCACTGTCAAAATAAACTGTCCTCAATTGTGCCTGGCTTCCAACCAGACTATTATTGCTTCTTGAGGCTGATGCAATTATTATGCATATCAGAAGTCAAAGGTTCATCGTTACTACCTCAAACCTTATGTCTGAATGAGTGGCGATGACAGAATCCTCTGTACAATTTATCAGGATGTCAAGTCCTCGATCTGAAACTAGCGACACAAACGTGTGTGTGAATAGAAAAGTCAACAATCTGAAGCAATCTACAAGTGCTTTATGTCACAAAAATAGGTAAATGCTATCGGATGAAGCATCTATCAGAGTTCTCTGTGGAAGGGACAGCAATGACTACAGGCAGAGCCGACATGGTCTTCTTATATTGTAACCCTGTATAGCCCCTTAAGGGGTCACTCACCGGGCCTCATACCGAATTTTAGGTAGACAGTAGAAGTTGTTGGGTGTCCGATGAGGAACATTTCGCCACAAAAATGTTTGGAATCGGTTCATAACGAGCGGAGAAAACAGGTTTTTTGAGGCGGCGCGAAACGAGGATGAGAGGAGGCGAGCTCGAAACTCTTGCCACTCCTCCGCGTAGCCTTCGCAAGCCAAATCGCTTTCCCACCCTCTCCAGCATCCGACCATGAGGTGACGTGCGCATTACGAGCCCAAACAAGTCCAGCCCCGGAGCAGGCGAGCGGCGTTGCTTTGTTCACCAGCGTTATTTTGTGGTTTTTTGCCTGTTTCTGCGCGATGGTTTGGAAACGCTGGCTTAGACACGGTAGAGTAGATGAGCACAATAAGTGTGTGAACGTGTAGGAGCGTTCCATTCGCTTCCACGGCTGTCGTCTGCTCGATGCACTGACCGCGGGGACACGAACGCATGTGAAAAGCTGGCACATTAGCCTCACATATCGTAGCATTTCACGGGAAAAAGTTAAAGAAAAACACGCACAATTTTTTATTGCATCTTATTATTTATTTCAAGTTTTATTAATCTCCTAAAGCAACAAATACATAAACTACTCATGTTGTGTTAAATAATTTTTGCCATGTCACATGGTATACTGTTGACAACGTCAGAGCAGAGTAGTCTACGTAGAGGACCAACGTCATTGCATTGCCGTGTATGTAGGGCCATTCATACGCCCAGGTCATGCATGCCCTCATTCTCTAGGCGTGTGCCGGCAGAGGGGAGGGGGAGCAGCGTTCATCTTGAAATTTGACTCGTTTTGGCACGCGTGGTCATAAACGCCTCCTCTACGCATTGCACTTGTCCGCTCCAAATTGTCAAACCTGGCGAGTAGCCCTTTAAGGATCAAGTTATCATGCAATGTCAGCAAATGCATCAAATTGATGTGACATGACTCTAAGGCACTCAATATTACATACCAAGAGAAAAATGAAGTAATGTGTTGCTTCTGCGAGTTTCAGAAATAATGTCTATTAGGATTTAACTAAATACCTAGTCATCCTGCAACTAATCAGCTTCAATTCTCGCACAAAAAAAATATTATGCCCAGAATGCATGCACAGTCTCTCTTTTGGTTTTTGCTTGTTTTGAGAAACAAAAAATATATTCTTGAAGTTGCTCCTCGAATGCAGTACGTTGATTGATATGTGGGGTTTATTGTCCCAAAACCACAATATAATTAAGAGAGATGACGTAGTGGAGGGCTCTGGAAATTTGGACCACCCGGGGTTCTTTGACGTGCAGCCAAATCTGAGCACACGTGCCTACAGCACGAATGCAGAACGTTGAATGACCATGAACCATGGTAGTGTCTTCAGCAAAGCGATTCTCTGCAGCTATATGCAGCACAACGAAGTGAAATGACTGTTATCCACTGAGGAAGACCGCACGAATGTGCAGATTGCGTTTCAGGAAAAACATGGTACACGATATGCCTTGGAAGTTCACATGTACAAATGTACACACGGCAACTGAAGGGGATAGGTAAAATAGAGCAGCATCTAGCTGGAAACAAGGATGGTTACTCAGTAGGTGCAATACCTGCTACGTGTAATCGCAGCAAGGTATTCCAGGCTTTCCAGTTTTCTCATTTTAAGTGAGCCTTTCACGAGAAGGTGTTAACTACAGAAGGATGAGGACTTTCTCAACATATTAAAGGCAAAGGTGCACTCATGGTGAAGCAGTAAGATCGCTGTGGTTTAGGCTACTCGTGGCACCATACTTACTCTGAGCTTGCAATCTTCCAAGCAGGAGAAGCTCATGATAAAAGCATGGGCATGTGTTCCTTTCAAGGGAATATTGAAGAGTTTTCCAGCGAGCACATTGCTCGTCCCATCAAAACCTGAAAGACAGAACTCTTATGTGCAAAGTTTCATTTGGATTAAGAAGTGCCGTATTACAGATTTCTTGCACCATCAACAGACCCCAAATAGCACTTCGTTATCTTGTTCACATACACAAATAAGTTCCTTTCTGGAAGCTAGCAAAATACAAAAATAATACTAGGGTTGCCATATTTGCTAACGGATTTTGTCTCAAAGATTAACAATGTGCCTGACAAAATGAAGGACCAACTGTGCTTTTCCTGTGAGCTTTTTTGTGGGCTCTATATAGCCTGAACAGCCACAGTGTTTTTTCAAAAGCCTCACGTGCAGAATGCGTGTTATTTCTATACAGCGAGACATGAATTTTAACTTGCACCTGCCTGTAAGTAAAGTCGATGTGCGGCCATACAAAGTTTTCAGGGCTCTTTGTTGCCATTTCACTGGAAGTATATGCAACACTTGCAATGCCAAACTTGTGTCTCCACACCCCACTCTGCCCACTACAGGGACTACATGGTCCTCTGGCTGATATGACTGAGGCACGCATATGACTAAGGTAAAAATCTGATATATTATGGCTTTACTAATACGTACTCACATTGTTTGTAAGCAATATTTCTTTAGAATATATTACAGACAAACAGAAACTCACCACCAAGGTAGGTGTACTTGGATGCTGACAGGCCTCCATCGGGACCTTGAGCTCGCCTCAGACCAAACTCAAGCAGGCTTATGTTAGACCCTGCGGCTAACCGGAACCTTGCAGCATTTGTGGTCACTAAACTTCATAAAAAAAAGGCAAACGTACATCACTAAAAGTCATGAAAAAAGCAACAAAAGGTTATGATTTCTTCTGCCTATCAAAGCTTTGAATGTAATCACGCTATGACTGTACTACACAAGATATTCACATTAAAAAAAAACTTCACCACCCCCACAAGTTGAAGTTATGCTCCTGCTTTACGGGACTGATCTTTCTATTAGTTATGTAAATGAATGTCTTTTTTTTTCCAAGTGTGAACTACCTGGCAAGGCAGAATGTGGGAGAGTTCACAAAGTTCCATCTTAAGAAGTGGTAGCTGTGTGCTAGCACATAATCTAAAGTGTGCATTAGTCTGGCCTCGACCACTTTTCAGAGATTGGTAGGAATATTAAGCATCAAAAAGACGCCCTAGAAACATTCACTCAAAGAAAAGATTGCGTAAAAAGGGCATCTTTTTTCCCACAACAGTAATTGCCATCTATCTTGCATTTCTTCCCTTGCACCAACGCCGCACACCCGCAATTTCAGGTCATAAACGGCATGTGCGTTATCAGCGTGACACAGCTTTCTTGATATGAAAGTGGCCAGCGCCAACTTTTCAAGAAAGGAAGTGCAAGCAAGCCGGATGATGATTATTGTTGTGGGTCAAAAAGACACCTTTCTTACTCTATCTTTCTTGGTGTGTTCTTCAGGTCCTACAGTGACTGTTGGGATGTTGGAAGCAGTAAGCTTTAGACACATATCTCCATATATGTTCTCATAGCATTTGAGGGCAACAATTTTGACAATTATGAAAACAGCTAAACATAGGGTTGTGTGTTCTGCATTCAGAACGGAAGACGATCTTCAGGATATTCGTAAACTACTTACCTGGCATAATTTACGAGGTTTAGAAGAGTGGTTTCAAAGAGTTGCAGCACAGCGAGTGGCCCTTCCACTCGTATTAGTGGCACCCTTGGGAACACAACAGTTCCTTCTGGTACTGCATAAAGTTTAACTTTTTCTGCCGTCAACGACGAAAGGTAATCATAGTACTCGGGTTCGACACTGGCTGGAAGGATGCTCTTCAAGTATTCAATATCTGAAAATTTTTTGGGTCATGTTTAGCACATTCTATCATTAAGAAGACACGATAAAATAAAGACTAACACAAAATTTCAAAAAATGTTTTTTTTTAGAAATTCACCTGCAGAGCATAGATCGGGTGATATTCAGGGCGGGTTGAGTTGATTGATTCTAAGAAATGCATAAGACACTGCAGTGGCTCTGTGATGGCGGCACCGGGCTGCTGATGAGAAAAGTTCAATCCTAGTCGCAGTGGTTTGATGCAGAGCATATTTAATTGTGGGGTTTACCATCCCAAAGTGACTATGGGAGATTGTTAGTAGAAAGCTACGGTTAATTTGAACCTTCAAGGGCTCCACAGCATGCCCCGAGTGTTCCTTAACATGCACCAAATGCACACAGGCTTCCAGCATTTTGAATTTTAATGGAGATGAATGATAGTGCTCCTTGTTGTCTGCGAAGTCAGGGCACGTTAGAGAACTCCACGTAGTTCGTGAATACCCAGAGTCTTTCACTACTGTTGCTCTTAGCAAGAGTCACTCCAAGACGTTAACCGCCATAAACCAACCTACGGACTGCATGTTAGGGCGAAGAGGAAAAGATAGACATGTGAACGAAGGAGTGGGAAGCAAATGTTCTCCACTAACTTTTGATTTTTTCGTTATTTTGCAATTGTGCGTCAGTGTTTCCCTGTTCGCGCTGGCAAACGTGTGTGTGTTTACTCCAGTAGGTAAAACACCCTGCTTCCTAGTGTAATGCCCAAAATTCTTCACGCTATCCTATATTGCGGAATACACGAAATCGGGAAATGAAGTCAGAAAGCTTAGCGGTGCACGGTATTCGACAAGAACGGTGAATATAGCTCACGCAAAAAAATAAAGCAGAAGAAAAAAAAACGTCATTTGTAGAACATTCGCGAGATGTATGCTATTTAAAGCGACTGGGCGCGTAAAGAGACTTGCTCACCGCTTGTGGAGTAACGGAAGGTTTGCAAAAAGCGAATGCAATCCTCCAAACCAGCGAACACGGTGAATTCTCCTTGAAACGGATTCTTCCTGAAAAAAAGGTCGAACACGGCTTCGTCGTCGTGCTTGCCGCTTTTCCAGTAAGCGTACGCCATCGTGATCTGGTACAGATCTGAAACAAGGCGAGACTGCGTAAGGTGACTACACTTCGAGGCATCAAAATCGAGATCCACTTCAAATAACCTGTACAAAATTAGTCGTTAGGTCGTATACCTGTAAGAAGCGCCATACTTTGCGATCACAAACCAACGCCTGCTCGTCGCAGGCCCCCAGGGTATGCAACGCTCGTTTCCTGGCAGCTCGCACTGGAGCCGCTGCTCCCCCTTCCAGCCAAAACACAATACAACGAGCGTGAATGAATAAGTGTCACGCTGTGCAGCCGCTCGTCCAACGCGCTGAGCTGCAGCGCGAAAAAAGAAACCGACACCACCAAGGCACGCGGCCCAGTCAGCCCCGAGGTTTCGCCTTGCGCTCAAGCTTACCGCCATACGACGGAAGCAGAATCTAGCGTTTATCTCTTACATGACAACGCTAGCGATGGCCTGCCCACCTGTGAGCAAGGGTTGGACGACTCCAACCCGCAACGAAGTTGAAGTCCGGGCTTCGGGCCCATGATGGGATCCTCCCACAAGTGCCATGCCAAGTTTGCCGTCCCTCCGGACGTGTGCTGCAATTTTGTCGCGGCGAATTGTTCTTGTCTTATCACGAGAAGTGGTACATGCGCGTGCCGGTGTTGCAGCGCGAACGGAGAATTTACTGCGAGCAAACAGGTCCCTGTCAAGGTTACATTTAGACGAGGGAGGAGGCGCACGAAACCAACGCACAGCTGCTCTTAGGCAGCGTGCGTAGGCTTTTCATATGTACGTGTGATTGCCATGGCGATGGAGCTGGATGAAATAAGAGAGCTTTCGTGTGGCGCGCAATTCCCTGATACGGAAGTAACAAAAGTATCGTAATATGGTCGTTCTCCGCGATACTGGTTGAGCCGCAATAACTTAAAAAAAACCACTAAGACTGACCCCTAACATACTTACACTTGGTTAAAAATAATGATCGATCAGGCTAGCCGGCCCCGCTCTCCCTTTTGCACGTTCCATTTGGCATCCACATTCCACATGGCATCGACAACCCTAGTGGAGATCAGTGGCATCGACATCAGTGGCATCGACTTCCGTTAATGCGACCATGAAAAAGCAAAAGAATTTGATCAAATGAAGGGCATCAATGAAGTTATTCATCCATCCATCTGGTGGGTCGAATTAAGGGAGACAGAGAAGACCCATCGCTCTCATTTGGTAGTATTTGGCGCGATCTCAATACTCAATACATATAATAACTCGAGCGCAAAGTAGAAACTAAACACATAAAACAAAGCATCCAAACTTCATAAAAGTTGACCTGACAATTTAGGAGGAAAGAACACCATGTCTGCGAAAGTCAAGAACAGTGAAAGATCGTTTTCATGAAACCACCGGGAATCAATCTCACGACCTTGAGCCTTGATGACGTGGGCTCGATGCCGGTGTTCAAAGCGCAAGTTCAAGCTTACCTTTGTGCGATATAACTACCGATTTCAAGGAGCATCCGCCTGTAGTGGACAAGCGGAAAAATATTTGGAGAGAGCGCACAGGCGATTGTGCTCATGGCGTCGTGGAGGGAGAGAGCGAGAGAGAGAAAACGTTTATTAGGTGGCCGATGAGTGAATGTGGAAGGGTAAAAGACGAAAAAAAGATTACGCGGGCATTTTGTGTGAATCCTGCGACTGCACACGATCACAGTGCCTCGCGTTATCTGTCCGTTCGTGTTGGCGCCGAGACACCCGAAAGCACCAAGGTGGGACGCTCTTCGGAACTTGGAAGATTAGCTGTAAATATCGCACTCTCGTTCCCAGAGATTACTACGAACACGGTGGTTGCTTCCGCATTCATCATGTTCATTTACCTCGTGAGACATTATTCTTTATACAACCGGTAAACCAAAAAATATCACAAAGAGCGTCCCTCGCATCTGGAAGTCTACAATTTTGTCTCGTTCCAGCTTGTCAACTGTGCAAGAAATAGTAGCGCATTCACCTTCCTGAATGTGCTACTCTATTTTGATAAGTACAGTTGGTGTTATACTTTGTAATGTTTTCTTTTTGGTAGCAACAAAAATATAATATATACATGTAATAGGCAGTGGGTACAAATGTCTTAACCAACTAGATCAGGGCTTTTCAAACCACAGAGGTTTTCCAGGGTGCCGTGCAACACCGAACTTTTTTCTTGAGCATGAAGGCGATCGAAAGCCGGGTGGGAGGGGTGGAGAGGGGTTGCAGGGTTGTATACGCAACGTGTTGTCGCAAACGAAGCGCCGAACGTACGCAGGCCCATTATTAGGGCGGAAGCATTTATGCCTTATTTTTCGCGTCCATCCGTCCGTGCTCTGGAACGGTGCCAGCTGTGGTCTCTTCCTCTCACTCTCTCATCAATCACGTGATGACACAGCGGCACATAGCAACAGTTACGCCGCCACAGCTATGGCATCTCCCCCTTACAGTGACTTATCAATCGCGTGCCATTATTGATGAGAAAGTAAAAAAGAAGACATGGCACAGTCAGTCGAATGACCTCAGGCTCTGGCCGAACACACTTTGGACACTTTAGTTTTGTACACTTTAGTTTTGTAGTTTGAACTTGTTTGAGCACTCAAGAGCATGAATTACCAGTGCTTTGCGCATTCTCTCACTACAGGTCCGAAAATCGTTACGGCTAGCTGTCTGGGCGCCACCATAACCCTCTCTGGCCTGAGTTAAACAGGCGTGGCCCCCCAAAAATGCACTGACCAGGCTGTAACGTCCTTCTTTGTACTCCCGGTTAACAGCCAGCACGGCGGCATTTCTTTCTCTCATGTGCAAAAAAAAAAAAAAAAACTTTTTTATCATATATAGACCTTTCCACGGGACTAAAAAATGCCGCCATGCTGGGCTTTGCACGGGAGTACAAAGGCTGACGTCACAACCTCCGTAGTGCTTTTTGGGGGCGAAGCTCTTTAAGGCATGGGTCTGTGCATCCTCCGATGTTGTACGTAGCCACCGGTGGCACGTATACCCGCTCTAGAGCTGGTATGTGCAACAGGGGATACGACATGGGAGATGGCGGTACTTGGAGTGTTCACTAGATGGACGCACAAACGGACGCATGGATGGACGGACAGACAGGCTAGCAGATGCACGGACGGGTGGATGGACGCGTGGAGTGGTTATGTGTCATGGGGGATGCGAGATGGGAGGTTGTGGTACTTGGAGTGTTCGCTAGATGAACACATGGATGGACGGACACATGGACGAACGCGCGGACGTATGGACGAATGAACGTAGGAACGACGGACAGACAGATGAATGGACTCACGGACGGACGCATGGACAGACGGACGGATGGGCAGACACACGGATTGGCGCGCAGACGGAAGAATGGACGGAGTGATGGACGCTTCGCCCCACTCATCACCATTCACTACGCGGATATGCTGTGATTTTTTGGGGGTAGGTCAGGCCCACTTAGACACCTTCATGATAAAATCCTTAAGACCATCGAAATACATCGTAGTGCAGGTCACATGTCGTTTTGATGGTCGCTCTCCGTAACACTCGCAATATAGCCGCAGGGTGAAGGAGTTTCGCTGTAGAGACCCACTGCAGTTACTGTTCATGACAAACGCTGTAAAATTTCACAGATAACATAAAGCTCTTCGCTTTGATTAAATCATGTGGTCTAACGAGTAACACTAACTTTAAGACTTGAAAAATAACTGCACTGCTGCCCTATAGATATGTTTTTGTGGGCGTCATCCCGGTGTTTCACGTGTATCGGTGATTCTTATTAACGGGCCATATATACCTTATAGCAAACATATGCAATGATGAGGTGCGGGTATGTTTTTTTGTGTGTGTAGAAATCATATTTGTTCAACAGTGTCTCACACATGTCTCAGCCGGGACCGCGAGATACGGGAATGAAAATCGCATTTGTCCCTTCACAATCAAGCCGTGGCTTAGTGAAGGTCACCGCATACGTAAGTGAAGATTGCAACATGCTGGATGAAAGGCACTGAAGTGATGGATGAGGGAAATACGTCAGGCAGAACGGTTGTGGCCTGAAAAGAAGCGGCCAAGCAGACCCTTCAGAATTGCACTCGTCGGTGCTTTAATTTAATTTGATTTCGTTTTGTCCACAGTGGTGGCGTAGCGTTTTCGGTGCTCGGCTGCTGACCCAAAGGTCGTCGGTTCGACTCCAGCTGGCCGCGGCGGTCGCATTTCCATGGAGAAGAAGTGGTAGGGGCCCGTGTGCTGCCCGATGTCAGTGCACGTTAAAGCACGTCCGATGATCGAAATTTGCGAAGCGCCCTCCACTGCAGCGTCTCATAATCGTATCTTGGTTTTGGGACGTTAAATACCAGATATAATTATTATCATTTATTAAATAAGACTTGGGAATAAGATGGGGCGAGGGCCGCATGTAGGTGGGCCTGTACTCACGATTTTTAAGGGTTAAACAGCTAGGACAAACAGAAGGCACAGACCATGGTACTGACCGACAACGAAATGCGTTTATTCTCCCAGTCAGCATACAGTACACTTCATCACTATCGGAATGAAAACAAAAATCAAAATCAAATGAGTACTCGGCCCGCGCAGAAGTAATTGAAGGGATCAGTGCGACAGGAATGCTATCTCCTGCGGAAGCAGGGAGATTGGAGGGAGGCTTAACTCGCCGCTGTTGTGGATTATAGATAAGAGACGGGCGCGATCGTCACGGTCAGGGTTAAGTATACCATTCCATTTTTTTAGGCCGGGGTCTGGCTCTTTTTGCTTCGTGATTAACAATGAGAGATTAATTTAAGCGATAACAAGAAGGAGGATCGGAAAAATAATCTTTATGCCAGAGAAATCTCGGGTATTTGTAGACAGCCGTAACCACTTCCGACCAAGCAATGAATTTTTTTTTTCGGATGACAGCGTTAGGGTACGTCTCCCATGTCAATTCTGAGGGGGCTGGCACAAGCTAGAACAAGAACGAACTTGGAACACGAAGGGACAGGCAGCAATACAGGGAACAGAAAAGAAAAAAAGGTTGTAAGGAACCTAAGCACAATAAAATGCAAGAACGAGTAGAGGAAAGAAAGAGAAACGACAATGTGGAGTGCAAGCCGCAGATAACATAACCTCCCCCAAATATCGATAGAGATAATTTTTAATCGCTAGAGGGAATAATGACGCCGCGATCGTTCTGTTAATGTCGGTATGATATGGCAGATATCTCAGTTTACCCAGACTTTGTAGTTGTGCCTTCAGGCATACTTTATTGCTGCTTATTATTCCGGTGTTATAAGCATTGACTCACACAATGATGAAACGAAGGCGGTAATTGTCCGCACGCGTAATCACCGCTGTAGTTGTTTAATTTATAAGACAATATAAAATTTGAAAGCGACAGTTTCTTTAGGAAGGACGGCGAAGATAAAAATTTAAGGCCTTCGATACCTGCTGTAGTCGCATTTCTAGGATGGTTGAGCCACCATGCTATATATAAGTGGTTTATAGAGCTCTATTGTTCCCTCTATTATGTATAGAATGAAGTTTTATAACATGCCGGAAAGAACACGAGATCAATAGGTGCATGCATGAATGACACTATATTAAGGGCTTTGTATATTGGCTTTTTAATACTTCCAATAGGTTTATATTGTTCATACGAATAAATGTTTGATTTTATTTAAATGAAGCACGCAAGATTCGTGCGCTTTTGTATTACTTCTTTGGACGTTGTTTGATACAGTTAAAGGAGTTTTTACTGCAATGTGAG